ACACACACAGCTCGGCCGTGGTGTTGGTCAGGTGGGGTGTGATGTGACGAACATTGAAGGCTCGTTCGTCGCCAATGTCGCTGCCAAGGTAAGAGGCTACATGCCAGCATCACTGCCGCCATGACTCATTCCTCTCTGTCTGTGTCGATGGCCTCAGGTGCCGTCTGCTTCCTCTCACTGGTCCACCCTCAAGAGCAGCATCTCGGCCGCCTCTGGCGCCCTCACCGCCATCACACAAGGCATGGCGGCGATGAGCCCCTCCCCCACCCCTCCCTCACACCCCCATCCCTCCCCATCAGCTGCCCATCCCGCCGCCACTCACGCCGAACACACCACAGCCGACACGGACAATGGTACAGCCAATCCTCTGTCCGAGGATCTGTACCGTGACGTCGTGACTCGGTTCCTGCCCGTCGACGTGGCCGTCAGCTCAGCACGAGCAGTCAGCAAAAGCTGCGGCACCGAGCTCGTCGATGAAACCTTCGTGAAGGCCCGCATCGACACGGACCTCACCCGCCGGTCGCTGCGGGGCCTCATCGACGTGGATAGGCCGTTCCAGTACTACACCAAGTGTGCGTATGCACTCGAGCAGGGCGGGGCGGTGTGGTGTGAGTGGCCCGACTTCATCCGGCTGGCTGACATCTACAAGCTGACCGACGGCCTGCCCCTGATCATGTCGCCGGAGTGGATGGCGGCCCACCTGCCCACCAAGGCCCACTTCCACAGCATGCCCCTCGCCCTTCGCCAGTACAGCACATTCGGCCACCTCCTCAAGTACTGGGGAACCAGTCTGGCGATCGAGAAGGTGGATGGGGCCGAGGAGGGCAATGAGGGCAAGAAGGAGGACTGGCAGGAGGATGGAGAGGAGGGCAGCGAAGGAGAGGGCGGTGGGAGCGGGCAGACGGACGAGCCGATGAAGGGGGACGGTGGGGTGACGCGACAGTGGTATCGCATCGGAGACGACGAGGGCAGGTGGGAGTTCGAGACGGTGCCCAAATCCGCCCTCCCTCCCCGCCATCCCTACGGCCGCACATATGACTCCCGCAACCCGCCCATCCGCTACGGTGACTGGCTCTACCCCTCATTCACGGCCTTTATGAGAAGGATGGTGTTGTGCGACTGGTGTGAGCAACAGGGGGTGGACGAGACGGGGGCATTCCGGGTGAGAGTTGGCTGTGGCGATGAGCGCTATCAACGACTGCTGACCGGTCCCATCGGAGGCTACACCACCATCGACTACGTCTACGAGGAGGGGGAGGGTGGGGATGAGCGGGAGCGATTTATCATCCTCAAGGGCACTAAGGAGGGCGACATCGCCGCCTACCTGGTGCTGTGCGACGGCCGCATCTTCCTCTACACAACCGAGGCGGAGATCGAGAGCCAGCGGCTTTCTGGTCGGTTCCCCATCACCACGCCGCTGGTCCGCACCCTGTTGACCAAACATGGACTGGCCCACCTAATACCAGAGTAGAGGAGAGGAGACACACACAAGTGAGCCACAATGGTGCATCCATTGAGTGCCTTGATGACATTTTTGTGTGTGTGCGTGTGTGTGTATGTTTAGGTGAGGCTGTTCGTCGACTGGTGGTGCTGTTAGCGAAGAACCTAGCACGAGAGAGTTGTGCTTTTAGCTTAGCTGCGGCGGAGGAATCACTTCTTGAGGCGGCATGTGAGTAGATGGGCTGGAGGGACTGGGTGTCGACTGCAGGAAAGTCCCATGATGTGAATACGTGTGTTCATGTTCGTATGTGTGAATTGCACTGACTTACAGCGGGCGAATTCAGATACATCCAACCAAACTGTGTCCACCAATTCAGTACACACACACACATAAACCCACTCACACACACACACCCCTCCCCCCACAGAGCGCAAGCCAGCCTCCCCACACGCACCACATCAGAACAGATGACACAACGACTACCGGCCACTGCAGTGTCTGTAGAGCAAGTAACGAGTCGTTACACGGCCGGCCAATACACACTCCGGCAGAAGCCATGCCAATCGCAGCAGCTGCTGCCATGCGTCAATCAAACTAGAGGGAAGGCAATGGAGCAGCCTAGGCCTCTTCATTTCTGTGTCGGGATGCAAAGCCGCCACAGCTATCAAGGCCCAATGCATCCACGACTGTCTTTCCTTCTCCGTCTCTGGCTGACTGCCTGCCTGGCTGACTGATCGGCAAATGAATGGCGTTTGTGTGTGTTGGTGCGTGTACATGAGCGGGCCTGGGATTTGAGTGGTCAAGGGATGAAAAGATGGTGCGTGAGAATATGGCAACAACAACATGCAGTCAGTCCTCAATCATGAAGATGGTCGCACCACGGTTCATGTGTGTGCACACACAAACCCTCCCGGTTGATCCGCCCTCTTAATGGTCTGTCTTGATCTGCAGCATGGCTGGAACAGTGTGTGATGTCTCCATCGCACACTAAGTGTGGGCAGCGATTCGATTCGTGACCTGAGACACCACACACCACCAGCCGGCATAGAAGAGACACATACATATAAGATGTCTGCGGCGGTGCCGCGTTGCCTTCCGTCTGTGACATTCCACGTACCGTCGGGCACAAGTGGCCAAGGACGGCAGCAACGGCCTTCGACAACGACACCGATCTCCCGCACCTTCTTCCATCACATTGCAGGGCTGTCGTTGCCCTTGCACACCTCCCATGCCCTCCCTCTCGTCCCACCGCCGGCCAATGCTCACACGACCCATCACCGTCATCCCACTTCCAACCTCAGACCAACCCGCTACACACAAAGACAAAGGGGGGCTGCGAACATACGCCCTGTCAGCTGTTGGTGGGCCTCCAGGCAGGCCGTCGTGTGTGGGTGTCCTGCTCATCACCGGTAACACGCCGTGCTGTTGTTGTCGACAAGGAGTCCGACAGATATAAAATGTACGCAGCGATGTCGGGCCTGTCGACACACCACAACAGACACATAGGTTGAATGCACACGACATAATTGTGAATGTCGCTCATGCCTCTCTTGGGGACGATCTCAGGGGCAGCCTGGGCCTCGGCCTCGCCCCCAGGGGAAGCGGCAGCGGGTTTGCAGGCCTGGTCGGCAGCAGTGACCTCTGCTGGCGCTGACGACACCCCTGCGCCTGCTGCAGCTGCTGGTGCAGGGGCGTCGTCAGCGTCTCCGGTGGCTGAGGTTTCTTGCTGTCCAGCTGCCGCTACGGCCGCCTTGCGGGCTTTCTTTTTGGCCCGGCGCCTCGCCGACTTGGACAGCGTCGAAGCGGCAGCTGCCGGGGAGGGTTCAGTTGAGTGGGCCCGCTGCTCGATAGCATGCAGGATGCCCCTGATGGGCGATACACAAGTATGGAAGCAGCCATCCCCAGGCCATCCCATCAGCATGGCCTGCACGTGGGTGACTGAGATCTGTGTGTGTGTGCGTGTCTTACTTGGCGGTCTCCGCCTCCCACTGGCGCCGCACGGCGATGGGAGCGTGTCTGGCCGGTCTGCGCGAGATAGCGACCGACGACGGCACTCAGCTGGTCACAGTAAGACACATGCTCCTCCTCCAGTCCACCCCCGGTCTGATCCTGGAGCACCTTCATCTCAATCTGACGACAGGCAATACACAACGACACACGATGGACACATGCTCACAGGGGATGCCCCTCTGGGCTCTCTCTGCTGCCCCACTCCATGTCTCCCTCCCTCCCTCCCTCCCTCCCTCCCTCCCCTGACTGACTGACTGACGTTCCCCTGAGTTGTTTCTGAGTAGACCTGCAGGCACCGCACACACACAGTGCAACTGGGTGGACGTATGGGGTGGACTCAACCTGACGGACGGACGTGAAAAAACTCTCGTAGTATCCCTTACCGCTGCTGCTCCGCCGGAATCCCTTACCTCTGCCTCCGCCGAAGACAAAGCACGGGATGTCTCTCGGCTTGGCATCCGTCGTCAACCATTTCAGAGACCTAAGGGCACAATCGCTCATCCACACGAGCTCCGTCACATTATACGACTTACCTCGTGATGTTGTCTCTTATCGGCACCTGCACATCCACTCTTCCCTCTCTCTTGTCTGTCAGCATTCTGCCAGAATCGGGTGGGGCCTTGACGATGTTGAGCGTCTCGTGTCGGCCTTCGTCGTCGACCAGCAGAGGGACATTCGGCCCTGAAAAGCCAAAACGCTTCTCAAGCGTGTGCTTCCACCAGAGAGCGTCGTTAACGCATCCCTTGAGCGAGAGGGCGGTGTCGAGGTAGTTGACGCCAACAACCACTGCCTTCTTCGCCTATATACACACGACGCCCAAAGAGAGTTTCTGATCATTCGGGGAGCTGTTGGCGTACTGGTGGGGCTTCCTGCCGCACCACGAACAACGAGTGACAACGAGGGAGACGTCATGTCAAGTGGCGGGCTGCACGAAACGAGGCAGACAATCAATGAAATCCACACAATCCGCACAATGGTGGGGTGGGTACATACCTGTATACTTGCTGTGAGTGTGCACTGGGGAGAAGGTAGGAGAAGTCGAAACTTGACTCCAAACTGATCATGACCTCCCCCTGTTGGTTGGCATGAGCCTGCTTGTATGGACAGACAGATACGGGATGTATAAGCGTGTGTGTGAGCGATTGAGCGACGCGCACCTTCCATCGTTGGCCCGCCGACCTGCATGGGCACCACACGCTCCTGCACACAACACACACACGCCGGCGCCGTGCCTCCTTGTGGCTGTCTGTTCTGTGTGGCCTCCCAGCGCCTCCCGTACTCTTGCGGGGTGATTGGAGGGCCGGGACTGGGCGAATGCCGAGGCGAGGGGGACCGCCGCTCGCAGGCGCATCTCCGTCGCACACCTGGCCGTGGTCCCGGCGTCGCGGCGTGCCTGCAGGCCGGCCACCTCACGGGCATGGCCCTCACGCAAACCCCCCACCAACGCCTCCTTCTTCTGTATGCGTGTGAGAGAGGGAGAGGGAGAGGGACAGGAATGGAATGGAGTACCCCAACATGTGTTGTGTGATCTCCTCTACCGTGATATGAGATTGGTCAGCAGGCGGCGGGCCAATGGCATGGCGATGGGATATCGATCGTCCAGCCTCTCCTGACCCTCGATCTCCGCCTCGCTCGTGAAGAGGAACAGCTCCGAGTTTCTGTACGAGCGTTTGTACAGGCTCAGGTGGGCGACGACGGTGTCGCCCTTCTTTCGTGCCCTTGAGGATGATGTGACGTTCGTCATCTATCCCCTCCCTGATGAGGTCGGTGGTGGTGGCGTGGCCGTCGATGTCACGGGACAGCAGTCGCCGATAGTCCTCACCGCCAGGGCCCGGTCTCGCCTGAAATACCAGCTTATGTCCCAAGCCCTCTTGGTCAAACCACTGCGTCAAGATCAGCCTCCTCATGAAGGCCGTGAATGAGGGGAAGAGGTAGTCCTCGTAGCGCCCGCGAGCGCCGCCCCATTGGGGAAAAGGACGGATCCTGCAGACATACATAAACACCACACCACCATCATGTGACCATCCATCGATTTATCTCAGACTGCCGTCGGACATCACTCACCTTCGCTTCCATTGCCTCTTGCAGGTACTCTGTGCGCTTCGGTGGAAACCGAAGTACACGACACTTGTTCAGCGGGAGAGTCTGACGCCACCCGGTCACCCGTGTTTCTTTTGCCTCCTCCCTTTCAAGCAGGTCACTTCTGCCGGCGGCGGGCCGCTCATGGTGTGGTACCTGACGGCAGATGGACTGATTGATGTGGGAAAGGGGGGAGCATTTCTATTGTAAATTCCTTTTCCCGTCTCGTCGAGATCTCGTCACGATTTCCCGCATTGCAAAAGGGACGCCAGGTGGCCATCGAAGCAGACGCGGAGTGGTCAAAATTCCGAAACGCTCGCAGATTGGTTTTCTCCTTTTCACTCATTGCGTGATTGCGAGCTTAATTGCGAGCTTCTACTATTCATCGAGCTTAGCTGCATCGCCAGTGCATTCCATTCCCTCCTACTATTCTCTGACTGGCAGTAGCTCTGGTTGTCCGCATGAGTGTTGAAGGAGAGCCGAAGCGTCCCCGCACACAAGGTGCTGAATCTGTCGCTTCAGCTCAGACGGGCGGCACACCGGTGAGCATCCGAGAAGCGAACGCATTCACTCGAAAGAGCGCACACACGTCCATTCATCGTGCTGACTGTGAGTGTCTGTGTGTGTGTATTGCAGTCCATCAGTGAGGGTTTGGTTCGTCTGGAGGAGCGCATCGCATCGCTGCACACACACATAGAACAGGCAAGTGGCGCATGAGAGGCCCAATGGCCTCACTGCTGGTGTGCTCTCATCCACTGTGTGTGTGTGTGTGCGGTGGCTGCAGGTCGCTCGAGAGGCTGCCGGTGTGCAGCAGCTCTTCAACACCACAGTCGCCGCACAGGTCAACCACACACACACTCACACGAGAGCACTCCAGCCATCCCTCTCTCCCTGGTTGTCTGTCTGTGTGTTTGGTGCAGACGCCATTTCTCGGCGATAAGTGGCTCAGCTTCTTCGCCGCTCTCTCGTCGGCTAAAGATGCGCTCAGCGACGTCGAGGGTGGCGTCAAGGGCACCATTCGGCCCATCGGCTGGGCCAAGCCGTCCCCGCCCGCCGACTCGGCCGACGGCCTGCCGCCTGATGTCTGCCGCGATGTCATCTACCAGTGCCTGCCGATCGATGAGGCCGTCTGCTCGGCCCGGCCCATCAGCAGGGCACACGGCAGCCAACTCGTCAATGAGGCCTTTGTGCAGCGTCGCATCGCCAAGCACCTCAGCCGCCACTCGCTGACCGGCCTCATCGACGTCCACCGGACAGCAGCAGACACAGCCAATGCCGCGGCGCCCACCCCTGCCCCTCCGACCACCAGCAGCAGCAGCAGTGACGCACCGGCCCCTGCAGCTGCTGCTGGTGGCCCTCATGTGTCGCACTTCGGTTATCTGTCCCAGTGCTGCTATGCACTGGAGCATGGCGGGGCGGTGTGGTGTGAGTGGCCCGGCTTCATCCGGCTGGCTGACATCTACAACCTGACGCCCTCGACTGGTCTGCCCCTGATCATGTCGCCTCAGTGGATGGCGGCCCACCTGCCCACCAAGGCCCACTTCCACACCATGCCCCTCGCCCTTCGCCAGTACAGCACATTCGGCCACCTCCTCAACTACCAGGGCACCAGCCTGGCGCTCACAAAGGTGGTAATATATGAGGCCGATGATGGCGATGAGGGCAAGAAGGGCAAGAAGGATGCCGAGGGGGGGGACGGAGAGGGGGACGGTGGGGTGACGCGGCACCGCTATCGCATTGGAAGCGGCCAGCGCCAGTGGGAGTTCGAGACGGTGCCCAAGTCCGCCCTCCCTCCCCGCCATCCCTACCGCCACACATACGACCTTCACAACCCGCCCATCCGCTTCGTTGGCTCCCTCTTCCCCTCATTCACGGCCTTCATGAAGTGGATGGTGTTGTGGTCCTGGTATCACCAAGAGGGGGTGGACGAGAAGGAGGTATTCGAGGCGGAAGTGGATGAGGCCGATGAGCGGTATCAGCGACTGCTGACCGGTCCCATAGACGGCCACACCACCATCGACTTCATCAGGGAGACGAATGACGGGCAGCGGCGACTCATCATCCTCAAGGGCATGAAGGAGGATGGCACCGTCGCCGCCTACCTGGACCTGTACGGTGGCATCATCAACCTCTACACCACCGAGGCGGAGCTCGAGGGCCACACGCGGCTCTCCGACCGCTATCCCACCGCGATGCAGCTCGCCCGCTCTCTCCTCACGAAACACCGACTCGCCCACATCATACCACAGTAGCGGAGAGGAGACAATGCAAGTGAGCCACAGCGCGAAAGAGACATACACACAAGATGCACGCAATGAGTGCCTCGATGACATTGGTGCGTCTCTGTGTGTCTGTGTGTATGTTTAGGTGAGTTGATTCGTAGACAGTGAAGAACCTGGCAGCATCGAGTTGTGCTGTTCGCTTAGCTGCGGCGGAGGGCCCACTTGCAGCGACGTGTGAGTAGATGGGCTGGAGGGGCGCGGTGTCGCTGCAGGAAAGTCCCATGATACGTGTATACGTGTGTTCATGTTCGTATGTGTGAATTGCACTGACTTACAGCGGGCGAATTCACATACATCCAACCAAACTGTGTCCACCAACTCAGTAACACACACATATAAACGCACTCGCACCCCCCCCCTCCCCCACACGCACCACATCAGAACAGATGACACAACGACTACCGGCCACTTCACTGTCTGTAGAGCAAGTGACGAGTCGCCACACCGGCGGCAAAAGCCATGCCAATCGCAGCAGCTGCTGCCATGCGTCAATCAAACTAGAGGGAAGGCAATGGAGCAGCCTAGGATTCGTCATGTCTGTGTTGCGTTGCAATTGCGCCACAGCTGTGAAGGCCCAATGCATCCACGACTGTCTTTCCTTCTCTGTCTCTCTGGCTGACTGCCTGCCTGGCTGACTGACCGGCGACTGAATGGCATTATGGGCGTGGGATTCGGGTGGCCAAGGGATAAAAAGATGGTGCGTGAGAATGTGGCAGCAACAACACGCAGTCAGTCCTCAATCATGAAGATGGTCGCACCATGGTTCATGTCTGCACACAAACCCTCCCAGCTGATCCGCCAGTTGTGCGTCTTCAGTGTTCTTTCATTCCCGACTTGGTAGTCGTGCATGGCTTACAACTGTGTGTGCCTGTCGTCACTCGTACAAATGAGCACGATCGATCCCCGCCCCATGCAAATCGCTATCGATCGATCCACCGACAACCGGAGATACATGCCTTTGATCAACAACCATCTTTCGTCCATTCCGTTGATGTATTGGTCTGTCTCGTTGCGCTCTGCTCGCGAGTCCATTCTGCGTCCATCCCATGCACTTCTGCTCCTCTCCCTCTTTTTGAAAACTCTATGTCTTTGTCCGTCTCTGTCTGTTTGTCTGTCTGTCTGTCTGCTGGTGTGTGGTTTGGGAGAGGGAAGAGACACAGGCCAGTCAGTCAGTCATGTCAGCTGCAGTGCATTGGTTGGTGAGGGCCCACTTTGGCAATGGCCCACGCACTCTATGGAAACCCAGCAATCCATCGAGCAAAACAAATCAAGCCCAGAACCCCCAACCAAGAGGACAGTGTGTGAATGATGTGCGGTGTGATGTCGTGTGTGGCTAACTCAGGCAGGCAGGCGATCATTCGAGGAAGCAAACCAAGCCCGAAAAACCCCCAAGAGGACAGTGCTCGAAGCGGTATGATGAGATGTGTTGTGATTTGAGAGACCCACCCAGACAGACAGACAAGAGGAAGAGACAAATACAGGGCAGCCATTATCGCACGCACGAGCGAATGGGCGGTGTGGCGGCTCACTTTGGCATGGCCGCACACACAAAGTCCCCAGCAATCAAGGAACCATGACAGACAGACAGACAGACAGACAGAGAGTGTTGAGAATTGGCCTAGCAATCGAGGGCAGAGCAAGAGTGTGTGAGTGTCTCTCCGGCCCATAGAGGACGACATACTTACGGCCCAAATCACACTGCACATGTGCGACCATAGACTGACATATACGCAGACATCGGCCCCCCGTGTGTGTGTGGTGATGCCGCCCGCGTGGTATGGGGGGCTCGAGATGCGTTGGCTGACCACCAGGCAATCAGACAGACAGACAGACAGACAGAGAGACAGACAGATAGTGTGTGTACAGCACGAGTAGGGGTGTGTGTCTATCTGGTGTGGCTGCATGGTCAGCCGCTTACTTGGTTCATTTCTTGGAGCCGGTGAACCAGCCGAAGAACCCAACCCCGCACGACTTCTTCGTTGATGCTGACCACCACCACAACACATCAGATTACGTTGCAGCACAGCACAGCCGACCCCGGGTGGTCTCTTACATTTCTTCTTGGGTGCGATCATGTGTGCGGGCGGGGGTGGCACCATTTGCGGCCGCATCATCGTCACCACGGGAGGGCCGGCAGGGGCGGCGGGAGGTGGCGCAACCGGACGACCAGCACCAGGGAAGGGCGGCGGGGGCGCCATCAGCATCTGCACACAGACAGACAGACAGACAGACGGGAAGAGGCACAGCAATGAGTGCACATGGGAGGCGACATCTGCCTGTCTGTCTGTCTGCTGTGTTGTGTGATGTTGTGTGTCACTCACGGGCATGTTGATGGGCGGCCCCTGGTAGCCGCACTGCTCCGGGGTCAACTTGTGCTCGGCCATCTACACAAAGAGAGAGAGGGAATGGAATGCACTCGTGTCTCTCATGCCTCGCTGTGTCTCATGTGTGTCTGTGTGTCGCGTACGATCTTGAGTTGGTGCTGGTTGGGGATCCATCCCTGGGGCGGCCCCTGCAGTGTGGTCTTGATGGGCTCGCCCACCTTGACGGGCGGGCCGGTCCAGCTGTGGCCGTCCTGCATCTGGCTGGGGTCTGGCAGGGGACCCCACTCATCCACCGGCCACGGCTTGGCGTTCTTGACGTACTCGGGGAGCGGCTCATTCTCGAAATGGGCCTCTATAGACGTGGGCGCTGCACACAGACACGAAAAAGGGGATCATTATGGACACGTGTGTTTTGTGTGTGTGGCTGACCGGTCCCCTCGGGCAGCGGCATTGGCGGGGCGATTTCCTTGCACTGATTGAGGTCGATGCCCTTGGTGGCCCGGACGTAATGCACCAGCTCTTCCCGGGTGATTCTCATCCCTGCAGACAGACAGACAGACAGACAGACACACAGACCGGTGGCCGGGAGGGATGGCTGCGGTGTGGGCGAGCCAATTGGCTGTTTACCGGGCGGTATGTCAAAAGTGAAGTTGCCCTTGATGATCGACGGAATGACAAAATTGGTGGGGCCGGGCGGCAGCGTCGTGGTCTTCTCGTGAGGAATCTCCTACACAGACAGACAGAGACACACATGGTGGGAGGGGAGGGAGGCAGAGAGGCGTGTGGTGCGCCCCATGTGTGTGTGGGTGAGTGTGCTGACCACGGGGTATTTGTTGTGTTTGTAATCGTAGACCGGCACCTCATACGGCTTCGGCACGTCGACGTACCTGAAGGCACACACACAGAGACCTTCAATCAGTGCACTCGTGTGTGTGTCGTCTGCACACTGACTTGACGACTTCCACCTCCCGCTCGATGACCTCCTCCCTGACAGCACCATCAACGACACAGACAGCATCACACACACAGTGGATGGATGGATGTGTGTGTGTGTGTGTGGGTACCGTTCGACGGGCACCTCCCGCCAAACTTCGATGACGGGACCCGGCACCTCCACGTCCACCACCTGCACACACGCACCGAAGTGGTCTGTGTGGTGTGTGTGGTCTTTCATGTGTGTGTGTACTCGTTCTTCGGTGATGATTTTGGGGACTTGTTTGATGACCGGCACCGGCACGTCCACGTACTGGGGCACCGGCACGTGCTCAATCCGCTCGATGGTCTTGACCTCCACCTTGGGCACATACTTGATCACCGGCACCTGTACCTGCGGACAGGCAGACAGGCAGGAATCGATGTATGGTCAGCGTGTCTGTCTGTGTGTATGCGTGTGTGTCTAGGTTACTTCGACGGACACTGGTTTGGGGACCTCCTTGATGACCTCCACCACATGGGGCACCTGCACCAAGACACACACACACAGAGACAGAGAGGGGAATGTCATGGCATCGATCGCAGCGCTATGTGACGGCCGCTTTGGCGTGGGTATAACCTCGACGATTTTGTCTTTGTATTGGACGACGGGCACCTCCTCCACACGATCGACCGTCTTGACCACCGTCTTGGGCACCACACGCTCCTGCACACAACACACACAGACAAACACAGGCCATGTCTCCCTTGTGGCTGTCTGTGTGTCCCCTGCATGGAGCTGGCAGCTTACGATGGTTTTGACTTCGACCTTGGGCACATACTTGTTGACCACCTGCACCTGGGGCACCTGCACGCAACACCAAAGGCACACCATCCACTCGTGTGTCCCTTCTCGTGTGTGTCATATGTGTAGGGTGGGTGTCAGACGTACCTCGACGATTCGTTCGACGTGTTGGATGACGGGCACCTCCACTTGGCGCTCGATCCACGAGTGACTCAGCTCGGGCACCTGGCGGACCACCTCATGGACCTCGGGCTTGGGGACGATCTTCTGCATGTGCAGCGGCACCGTACGCTCGGCCACGACGTCCCCGTAGTGCACGTCGGTGTAGACGGGCACCTCCACCTCAATCTGACGACAGACAGACAACACACAACAAGACACAGGATGGACACATGCTCACATGGGATGCCCCTCTGGGCTCTCTCTGCTGCCCCACTCCATGTCTCCCTCCCTCCCTCCCTCCCTCCCTCCTGACTGACTGACTGACTGGCTGCTGACTGACCCTTTGTGTGCCGGTCTGGATGGAGCCGGCGGGAGTGGTCCGTCCGAGGCGTATGAGCTGGGACTGTGTCATCTCCCCCTCACCACCTGACGAGACGATAGACATAACACAGAGCCCCTCAGCCCCATTTCCCCAAGAAGGGTCCCCCCCTTCTGACTCTCGTGTATGTGTCTCTGCCCTTGCCGCCTCCCCCCCCTCTCCAGTTGGCTCACCTTGTTGCTGCTGTCCGCCCATGGCCAGTGCGTCCCGCACACTGACCGGTTCGCTGGCGGCCTGAAAGGCCGCTGCCAGAGGGGATGAGCCGGATGGGGCCGGGCCGCTCATGATGAAGTCAAGTCAGCTGAATGAGGGGCGGGGCGCGGTACGTTGATTGATGCTGGGGTAGCAACACAAACGGGCTCAAACTTCCGAAACGCTCAGAGAGTTTGGGGAAGGGAAAAGGTCTCGACGATCACCAAACCCTAAACCCTCCTCCGTGTCGTTTGAGCATGAGTGTTGAAGGAGAGCGGCGACTCGGCACACAACAGGATGGCGACTCTGCTGCGTCAGCTCAGACAGGCGGCACACCGGTGAGCAAATGAGAAGCGAACGCATTCACTCGAGAGAGCGCACACACGGCCATCACTGATTGTGTGTGTGTGTTTCAGTCCATCAGTGAGGGTTTGGTTCGTCTGGAAGGGCGCATCGCATCGCTGCACACACACATAGATCAGACACGTGGCGCATGAGAGGCCCAATGGCCTCACTGCTGGTGTGCTCTCATCCACTGTGTGTGTGTGCGGTACTTGCAGGTTTCACGAGAGGCTGCCGGTGTGCAACAGCTCTTCAACACCACAGTCGCCGCACAGGTCAACCGCACACACACACACACACACACGAGAGCACTGCAGCTGTCACTCTCTCTGGTTGTCTGTGTGTGTGTTTGGTGCAGACGCCCTTTCTCGCCGATAAGTGGGTGAACGTCTTCGCCGCTCTCTCGTCGGCTAAAGATGCGCTGGGCGACGTCGAGGATGGCGTCAAGGGCACCATTCGGCCCATCGGCTGGGCCCGCCCGCCGACTCGGCCGACGGCCTGCCGCCTGATGTCTGCCGCGACGTCATCTACCCGTGCCTGCCCATCGATGAGGCCGTCTGCTCGGCCCGCCCCATCAGCAGGGCACACGGCAGCCAACTCGTCAATGAGGCCTTCGTGCAGCGTCAAATTGACAAGCACCTCACGGACACCAACCTCACCGGCCTCATCGACGTGCACCGGACAGCAGCAGACACAGCCAATGCCGCGGCGCCCACCCCTGCCCCTCCGACCACCACCAGCAGCAGCAGTGACGCACCGGCCGCTGCTGGTGGTGGCGGCCCTCATGTGTCGCACTTCGGTTACCTGTGCCAGTGCTGCTATGCCCTCGAGCATGGCGGGGCGGTGTGGTGTGAGTGGCCCGACTTCATCCGGCTGGCTGACATCTACAAGCTGACGCCGTCGACTGGCCTGCCGCTGATCATGTCGC